TGCTCCAATTTTTGATCAAGAATAATCAATAAACATATGGTGAGAGTGCACTTTTGGTGGATTGCAGAGTAAGACTGTGATCTATTGGAACCTACAATTAAATGTAAACTCTAAGGTGCAGATTTAATACAGTAATTTGTTAATTGATTTGTTTGAATGTGTAAGTATTTAGGCTTCAGAAATTACTGCTGACTTCAACATCATGTCTATCAGAATATGTACATGGGACATGACAGATGGATTACCCAGACTTGACAGTCAGTTCATGGTGGGCATTTGTCATCTCTGTATGCCTCAATATTGTTTTTGTTTCCTATGAAGCAATAATGGAGTGGTACACATAGTTTTAAACAAAGCTATCAGCATCCAGCACCATGCAAACAATAAGAGGAAGAGAGATTATCAGGATACCGCTGGGGGTACGGCTTCAAGTACAGTTGATCTCCATTCACTCCCTGCTTCCTGAGGTTGAGATGGTGGGGCCATCTCTCCCTCCTCATTAATCCTCGGCTTTCCCTCTGCTTGTTGCTAAAGCACATACTGACTGTACCAAAATGAGCTCTAGGTACCCATACCTTTTCAACATAAATGCTATTCACAGGTAGGTTCTTTTTTTTTTTTTTTTTTTTTTTTGAGATGGAGTTTTGCTCTTGTTACCCAGGCTGGAGTGCAATGGCACAATCTTGGCTCACCACAACCTCCGCCTCCTGGGTTCAGGCAATTCTCCTGCCTCAGCCTCCTGAGTAGCTGGGATTACAGGCACGCGCCACCATGCCCAGCTAATTTTTTGTATTTTTAGTAGAGACAGGGTTTCACCATGTTGACCAGGATGGTCTCGATCTCTTGACCTCGTGATCCACCCGCCTCGGCCTCCCAAAGTGCTGGGATTACAGGCTTGAGCCACCACACCCGGCCACAGGTAGGTTCTTTCCCCTATCCACTCACCCACTCCCACTCATTCCAGAGCAGACAAAAGTGCAGGGAAGACAGGTGATCGGGTGAGCACATAAATCTTGTTCCCTTTCTGCTGTGTTGTTGACTCACATCTTGTTATTTAATTTCTTTTTTTAAAATTTATTTATTTATTGCTGAGTTCCCAAGACCTAGAAAATATAACTTATTCTTTGAGTCACTTTTTCACTGGACTTTGATTTACAATTGAAAACAATAACAGGGCATTAAAAAATACATCTTAAAGTGTTTTTGGATTGATTGTGTGATTATTTGTGGCCAAAATTCTTGCTTCATTCCACTGTTATAGTCAAGTAGCTTCTCGTGGAAAGGTATCCAGGTGACAGGAATGAAATAAATATCTCTGTTTCAACTTGTCTTCATCATCATGGGTGTTTTTGTTGTTGCATTATGATTAATTTTTTGAGAATAATGTTTCTAGCTATTTGAAACTATTCTCTTAGAGTTTCTACAAGATTGAATGGCATTGAATTAAACAGCCATGTATTATTCATTATCACGCTGCTATAAACACCTACCTGAGACTGGATAATTTATAAAGAAAAGAGGTTTAATTGACTCACAGTTTTGCGTGGCTGGGGAGGGCTCAGGAAACTTCCAATCATGGTGGAAGGTGAAGGAGAAGAAGGCATGTCTTACCATGGTGGAGCAGGAGAGAGAGAGAGAGAGTGAAGAGGAAACTGCTACACATGTTTAAACCGTCAGATCTCATGAGAACTCACTATCACGAGAACAGCATGGAGTAAACTGACCCCATGATCCCATCACCTCCCACCAGGTCCCTCCCTCAACATGTGGGGATTATAATTAGACATGAGACGGAGGTTGCGGTGAGCCGAGATCGCGCCATTGCACTCCAGCCTGGGTAACAAGAGCAACACTCTGTCTCAAAAAAAAAAAATAATAATAATAATTAGACATGAGATTTGGGTGGGGGCACAGTGCCAAACCATATCAAGCCAATAGAACCTTTTAACAAAAAGAACAAAAGTTTCCTATAAAAGACCCCTCCCCACAACATTTGGAGAATAAGGGAAATATCTTGTTGACAGGAATTTGAACTGAGAACCAAGAAAGTGCCATCTTTGTTCTATTATTGTTTTGATTTGTTAGAGGAACTCACATAAATGTCCTCTAAGCTTCAATTTCGCCATCTGTGAATGGGGGACAGAGTGTTCTTTCCATGTCATGTTCAGATGGGCACTGCAATAAAAGCAATAAACTAATGCAAAAGGAAGAAATTATTTCTTAGACCACAGTAGTCTTCATTGACATTTGAAATTCTTTCACAGCTCCAAATTCTGTGATTCTAAAAAATAAAATGTTTTCACTCTTTTCAACCACCATGTGTAAAAACACTGGTAAAATCTAAAGACCTCTTTCATATTATGGTAAGTTAGGCTATAATTTTTGACATACATAAACTTCCAGGGCGCTGTTTTCTCTCATCATATTCAAAGCTGAACATCTACTTGTCAAGACTTTCTACTTCCTCTCTCTCTGTTCCAATACCCAAGGGTTAAGTGGATTAAAAAATTTTCTCGACCAGCCTGGCCAACATGATGAAACCCCCTCTCTACTAAAAATATAGCTGGGCATGGTGGCACATGCCTGTAATCCCAGCTATTTTGTCAGGCTGAGGCAGGAGAATTGCATGAACCCACAAGGTGGAGGTTGCAGTGAGCGGAGATTGTGCCACTGCATTCCAGCCTGGGTGACAGAGCAAGACGCTGTCTGAAAAAAAAAAAATTTTTTTTTTTTCAACAGTGCTATGGGGTGAACAAATTTTAGTAACCTTCCAGCAGCATTGGGTAAGCCAGAGAAACCAAAACCTCAATGAATCCTCTTTGGATTAAAAGAACTGTTGGAATTCTGAAAACGAAACAATTCCTTCCCTTTTCAGGGCCAGGGGTTGAGAACAGCCTGGGCAACAGGGCAATAGAGTGAGACCCCCATCTCTGAAAAAAATTTTTTTAAAAAAACTAGCTGGGCATGGTGGTGCACCTCTCTAGTCCCAGCTACTTGGGAGGCTGAGGTGGGAGGATCACTTCAACCCAGAAGGTCAAGGCTACAGTGGGCTATGTGATTGCACCACTGCATTCTAGCCTGGGCAATAGAGCAAGACTGTCTTAAAAAAAAAAGACAAATAAAAACAAAAACAAAACAATTCATTTTCTTCTCTTCAGAAGGATGAAGCTAATCTCTATGAAATGATGGACTCCTTTGAACATTACCAATTATTGGATATTATGGCATAAAACGTTATTACTATTGTCATAAAAAGGCTAATGTAATATAACATTTAAGTTTATTTTTATTTTCAGATTAATTTTCCTATCAAAAGCACTACTTCCCAATCTAATTCATCTTCTCAGAGTTTTGAAAGCATCATCAGATTAAAAAAATTATTAGTGTAAATTGAATGTCTGTAGATCTCACTGACCCACTGCTATAGCTAAGGTCTCATTAATTGTAACAGCCTAGATGCCATCAATTCTTGCTCCCGATAGATCAGCCCCCTGACAGCCTCCCATGTCTCCCATTACAAGAGGTCCAATAGGATGTGCTCCCCACGTGCGCTGAGCCTCACTTCAGCACTCTGGACTTGGCAGACTTGCCTGTCCTTCTAGGGGCTCCAGAGTCTGTCTTGGGGCTCCAGTGAGTGCTACCCTGACCCTTAGCCACTGCTGCCTCTCCACTTGGTAGATTGCCAATATACCAGGTTCCCAAGGAGCCAAAGTTGTGCTCGTTCCGTTTCAGTTACACTTTGTGAGAGCAGTCCTAAAATGATGCCATTTGTGGCTTGGTATTTTGCAGAGATTTGAGGAAATAGCTACTTGGGTTTTTTATCTACTGGCTTCCTGTTCTCTGTGAGTCAGACATGAAGAACATCAAAGTAGGGAGGGAGACAGAGAGATCTGGGCCAAGAACCAGCACCCTTCATACTCAGGACTGCCCCTGTCTTCTGACAACCAAGATTTCATCCTAAGAAGATCTCTCCCTTTTTTTTTCTTTTATTTTAAGTTCAGGGGTACATGTTCAGGTTTGTTACATAGGTAAACATGTGTCATGGGGGTGTGTTGTACAGATTATTTCATCATCCAGGTATTATGCCTAGTACCCATTAGATATTTTGATTCTCTGGAGTAGCAGAAGGGAGACTTGCTTCATTTTAGTGACACGCTTGACTCTACTTGACTCCACAAGGACTGAACCCTCTCTGTTCTGGAATTCTCTTGTAGTGAAGCCTCTCCCCCTCCCACCACTGTTGAAATGTTACACTGACAGGTTTCTGTGCACACCCTTCACTCTCGATAGGCCCCAATGTGTTTTCTTCCCCTCCATGTGTCCATGTGTTCTCATCATTTAGCTCCCACTTGTGAGAACGGCGGTATTTGGGTTTCTGTTCCTGTGTTAGTTTGCTAGGGATAATGACCCACAGCTCCATCCATGTCCCTGCAAAGGACATGACCTTGACAGAACTACCATTCAACCCAGCAATCTCATTACTGGGTATGTGCCCAAATGAATAGAAATCATTTTATTATAAAGACACAGGCACACTTATGTTCACTGCAGCATTATTCACAATGGCAACATGGAACCATCCTAAATGTCCATCAGCTATAGACTGGATAAAGAAAATGTGGTATATTTACACCATGGAATACTGTGCAGCTATAAAAAAAGATCTCACTTTTCTTGACACAAATGATCTAGAAGACTTCAGTCGCCCCCACCAGAGCTTTCCTTTAGGTCTCAGCTCACCCAACAAGCCTGAACTTCCTGCAGTGGGCAAGTCCCACACACAAGCTGAGATCCTGTTAAGTGAAGATCTACTTTTATTCTGATGAAAACCACTCCAGACCACAGGGATTTAACTTGAGGTTGAGGGACTGTGGGTTGAAGACAGGAGGAATGTGAAACCGGCAGTGAGGGCTGGTGGGGGAGGGGAGGCTGGGAAGCTTCCCAGGAGGACTCCTGGTGGGGTGGTTATCTCTTCACTCAGGCTCTCATTCTCTCTCCAGAATGACATCTTCGAGTGGTCCAGGGACCACCGAGTCCACCACAAGTACTCAGAGACGGACGCTGACCCCCACAACGCCCGCCGGGGCTTCTTCTTCTCCCATATCGGGTGGCTGTTTGTTCGCAAGCATCGAGATGTCATTGAGAAGGGGAGAAAGCTTGACGTCACCGACCTGCTTGCTGATCCTGTGGTCCGGATCCAGAGAAAGTAAGTGAATGGGCATTAAAGAGAGCTACCTGTCCTTCAGGGGCCAGGACAAAGAGACAGCACAATGAGGTGGACTCGTAACCCCGTAGCATCCTCCTCAAGTATTTGCCCTAATGATTTTGCCTTATTTATAAGACTTATCTCTGTTTATTAATTTCCTTTTGCTCATTCAATTTTGCCCAGTGGCACATTTGTTTTGAGTTTCAAGTTTCATTTTTAATGGATTTCCTTTAAGCCAGTGTCATTGTCTTCAGACTAATCTTGCATGGCTGATTTCATGGAATCTGTTTCTGTGGTTCACCACTGCCCCATTCATGATTCTCTGGAGTATCAGAAGTGGGGCTTGCTTCATTTTAGTGATATGCTTGACTCTGCTTGACTCCAAAAGGACTGGACTCTCTCCAGGTATCGTATTCTGTTCTGGAATTCTCTGGTAGGGAAGCCTCTCCCCTTCCCACCACTCATGGAAATGTTACACTAGTAGGTTTCTGTGCAGAGAAAATAAGACTGTTCAACAGAGGGCCTCAAAGCACTCATATGCCCTGATGGTGTCAGCTGAGCATACTGAGTCCACCAGCATTTGCAGAATGAAGCTGCTTTCTACGAGCACATGAAGAAAAAATGCCTATAATTGTGCTGGCAAGTAGAGAGCAACCTTTGTTCTCAGGTTGGCCTGTGTCTGCAAAGTTTGGCCATGGTGAGCTTGTAGCACCTAAAGCAATAGATTTATGTGTAAAGATGGGCAACATATGGACCACGCTCTGATTAGAGCCTTGAGGTAACATGGTGAATAAGTGGTTACTAGTGACCGCCTCCACTGATGGGTAGGAGTCATCTGAGGACTTACTTAATCAGAATCTCCTTTTCTGATGGACATGGAGGCTATGCCTTTGTCCAACACAGGAGTCTTTGCATGAAAGGAAAGATGGCTTAGGAATGTGCTCTTTTCCACTAAAGCCTCTCCTTTTATGCTGTGGGGAGCAGTAGAGCATAGTGAGAAACTGGCAGAGCATGGAGACAGACTGCTGGAATCAGACCCTGTGACTCCTCCACTTAGTGGCAAATGAATTAACCACTCTAAGTCTCATTTTCATCTATAAAATGGGAGTAGCAGTAATACCTATCTCCTACAGCTTTTGCAAAAATACAGTTTTAAAAATGTATGGAAATTGCCTGGCACATAGTAAGAGCTTAGGGAATGTCAGTGATTATTACTATTACACAGGCAGTTGCTAGATTAGAGAATTCTGTGTGTTTCCATCACTGCTTTCTGTTAGCTTCACTGTAGGGTTTTCTCTGTATATCTCAATACAACTCTTTTAGGTGTAAACACCCAGTATTAATTCAGCTCTTTTAGGTTTGAAAATACCCAGTATCAAGTTTTAAAGCAGAAAATAACAAGATGTTTTCAATTAACAATTCAATGATTTATGGATGTTGATTTTTCTCCATGAGAGTAAAATATTAAAGGTCATTAGAGAAAAAGCTGAAAAATTCAGAGAAGTAGGAAGAAAATTATTCACAGTCTTAACATAAACAGGCACTATTAATATTCAGTAGTATTTCTATTTCATATATTTTGCATGACAGCAGTCATATTGCAAATGTAATTTTATGTCTAACCTTTAACTTCAGATTATATTGTGGACACCATTGTCAAGGGTTGCAGAAGAGCCCATCAGTTGTAGATGTCATAGTTTGTTTAACTATCACTCTGCCGTTAGCTATGTATGTCATTTCCAATTCTGTGATACAAATGATGTTGCTATATAATTAGTAATGCTTTGGGACAATCAGACCTTGGATTAATTTGAAGAGCTCAGATGAAAAGGCAAAATATTTTCTGTTTTATTAATGAGAAATGAGCCGGGTCTAACAGTCTGGGTTTCTCTGACCATAAAAATGGAATTTTTTTTCATCTTTTCTCATAAAGAATGTTGTAATCTGATTCATTATGTGTGTACTGGCGGCACATATGTCTAAAGACTATTTCTAAATGCAGGAAGAAGAACAAAGACTATTTCAGCAAGTTCCCTGAATAGTCATCTGAGAACATCTTTCATCACCAGTCCAGTGACTAAAGGAGGCTGAGGCTATCAGAAACCATTCACTCATATCATCATGTCACATATATCATTGAGCTCCTGCTGGGAATCAGTGCTGAGGATACAGCCTAAAATTGGCCTCTGTCTTCTCAGAACTTGCAGGTTCTAAACTATAGAGGTCACCCCTAGTTGCCTGGTCCAGCTCCAGAATAATTAAGGCAGAGGAATACTGCTCTTTGAGAGTACAGGCCAAACAGAGGAGGTATGGCTCTGGATCATGTAGTTTGCATGTTAAAGGCATGCTCCTGGCTATGCCCTTTATTATCTCTAAGAATTGCCTAGGCCCAGGAAGGTAGGCTTTTCCCAGCCAGAAAGGTTTTTAAGATGTCAAAACATCCTAATATGTATGTGTGTGTTTGTGCAATACATCCTATGAGCCAACTAATAAAATATAGATGGAAAGTTGAAGCTAGAAGTGCATGCGTCTTAGATTATTCACTCAATGTTCTTGTGATTATACTTTGCTAATTGAAAGGGGCTACAGCCGTCCTCAGATGTGTGGGTGAGCACTGATGTCCTTTGGTAATTATACAGAACAGAGAACATAGAGATCCATAATCTAAAATAAAGCGTAGAATCACTGAACTAAATGAAGAAAGTTTCCAACATACACAGAAGCAGTCAGCTGTTCAGATATTTTCATGTTCGTGAAGCTGGCTTTACTGGTCCTGCCGGTTAGGCTGTGAGTATGAGCTGGAGGGGTGGATCCTAGTGTCAGGCACTGTCACAACAGCTCAGTTCTTGCTATTCTGGGCTGAATGGAGAGCTTCCTGAGTAACAGAGAAAGGTGCCCAGATGCATTTGGGGCCCACACTTGGGTTATTTCAGTGGCACACCTCTCGTGGGCTGAATCTCCACCTGCTCCTGTTTGATTTTCTGAGAGCAACAGTCCCTATTTCAGTTGGAGGTAATAAGAATTCCTAGCTGACTCCACCACACTCCCAGGGTGCAGTGTTTGTGCAGATCAGTCAGCTAAGTGCCCTTGGAGAGTTTACTCAAACAGGTGATAGAGACTGAGGATTTAGACTACTCCTTCAGTCCACTCAGGACACTAATACAGATACTGCAGCTGATTGATAAACTTTAGCTGAGCCATCCTAATGACAACTTACTAAAGAAAAGCTTGGCAGAGAGTCAGGCTTAATCAGATTTCCATTGTACAGACTCATGGAAGAGAGAAGGTAGGAGCAGGAAAACAACACGTTTCAAGCTATACTTCTAGACCCTAAAAGATAATCTCACCAAGGCTGTCATAACAAGTAGTTAACTGGACTAAACCACATTTTGCTGTGCTGTCAATGTGTATGTTGTGTAAAGGCAGCCACTAGGCTGTGCAAGTGAGAAAAGCCAGGAGTATTTCCTTTTGGCCCTGGCAATTAGGGCCCCTGTCCTAGGTCTTACGACTTAAAGGGCCACACTTCTCTCCACAGAGTGAGGAGATCACAGGGCAAATGGAACATGTCACCTGCCTGACCCTTCCTTGACTTCTGGGCCACACCCTGGATTCCTAGGGTCCTAGAGTCCTGCCTAAATGGCCCTGAGCTCACTTCTAGAGCCTGTAGCAGCCTCTTCCTGGGCTCTGTCCTCCCAACAGGAAATACATAGAGCCTAGGCCTGCAGAGTGGCTAAGGGGCAGTGTTAGCACAGGGACTTAAGCTGAAAAGTATGAGCTCAGATATCCACCCAATGGGACAGAGCAAAAGGGGAAAAGGAAAAGGGATGAACCACAGGCTAGGGACTTCTACCTATACTCTTTGCCTGAACCCTGCAAATGTTGACGTGAACCTATCGGTGAGCCATTCATAAGGTTGAGGGTGAATCCATCAAGAATTATGTTTGGCTTAAATGAGAGGGCATGCACCGCAGGGGTCAGTAGAGAACTGGGATTCTTTTATCTTTCTGCTCTACCATCCTTAGCAGGGGACTTCCATTGTCAGTGTTGTTTCATGGTGCAGATTGATCACTAAAGCTCCAACCAGAAGGGAAATCAGGGAGGCCGAAGGGAGTACATTGCTGAGTTGAGTCAGTCGCTTTTAAGGAGTCTTCCTAGAAGATACGTACAACCTATTCGCTTGTCTCTCATTGACCATATCTGTACCCAAGGGAAATGGGAGAGTGGTTCTCTTGGTTAATACGTCAGACGCTTGAATACAATCTTGGTTTTGTTTCTAAGGAAGGAAGGGTGAATAGATATGGGGTAGACAATTAGCAGTGTCTGCCACAGCCACCCGGTTGTTCTGCCTGAAGCAAAGTGATTGGCTGTCTCCTATTATTCAGTCTTATTTTTTGTGAATCAAGTGGGTAGCCTCTCTGTCTCCACTAATGAGCAGAAACTGGAATCTCAATTCATCTTTCTGAGATGGCAAAATGAAGATAAAATCCAGAGACTGTTTCTCCTAATGCTTTGCTTATTCCATTGAGTCCCATTTTAGGAAAGACATTCCTCTAGAGGTTACATGTAAACACTGTCATACATTTTTAAAGTCATCAGAGAGGATGCTAGTCCAGACACAAGGTCCTTGCCTCATCGCCATGGTGATGAGATAAACTAAGAGAAAATGGATGGAATGGTTCAAAAGAACAAATCACTTCTGTTCTGGTGCCTTGGGAAGAGATCAAAATGTATAAATATTACCATTCCAGGAAGAAAGGCACTCAAACATCTAGAATATTTTTGAGACCTATTTCACCTCAATTCACCCCCTCGTCTGTTATCACTAGTCCTCTCCCCCAATAATGAGCATCACATCTCTCAGTGATACCCTCCTTTTTTGTTGTTTTTAAAGGCGATTTTTAAAAGTGCACTTTTAGGTTTCATTTAGCAAAATTGAGAGGAAGGTTCAGAGATATCCCATGTACCTCCTACCCACACACATGCATAGCCTCCTCCATGAT